AGAAAACATTATTTAAAAGAGATCTATATTCTATATTTTACTCCCTTAACCTTGTACCTATATGTGAAAAATGTGTGTCACTGAACAATAGTTATCATGTTTGAATTACAACTGAATCTTTTGTTCTGTCGAACTGATGCTGAGGAAAGCACATTATTGTATGACTTTAGAAGTTTGTTCTTAATTTGTGTCACTGAAAACAATGGTCGTCAAATACAACATATATTTTGTGCACCCTATAGATCTTGTGAAAACATTATTTACAACAAAGGTCTATTTTGTTTTTGATCTTTGTGGTAATTATGAGTAAAAAAAAAGTGTGCACATTTCATGACCTCTTTTGAAGATTATAGAATTATTATTGCATTCATTTATGTGCTGCGTAAATTTATAATATTCTAAAAATTCGTTCATTTTTTTTTCTTCTGAAACATTTTCCATTCACACATAAAAAATAAAGTTTCATGACGTCCAAAAGTGTCAATAAAAAAAATGAAACTGTCCGGAAATAGAGAGACTAAACTTGGATTCGTGCTTTACAATACCTAATTTCAAATCGAGGCAGAGCTCGTTTTTAAAAGGCGCGGTTGACTGTTGAGTACGCGGCAGCAATGAGGATTATTCTAATCCTAACGACTTCTATGATCTTGGCCTATACACCCCAGACTGTATGCATACCGTGTACGCCATGTAAGGAATTCACTAGCATGCATTATGCCTACTGCCTCGCGGCGGCCCCCTCAATGTGCGTGTTTGTGAGGGGGCAGGCCAAAACCATTCTCGTCGCAAATTGTAATGTCAAGGTTTTTCACCCACATGTCGATAAGCCAATATTAAAAACACCATTCATAGCCAACTGTGGTAAGTTTTTATTTTCATAGCAATTTTTAGGTCCCCTGAGGTGACCTATTGCTATCCGTTTTCGTCCGTCGTCGTGTGTCGTGCGTCGTGTGTTAACATTTGAACATTTTCAGCTTCTTCTCTGAAACCACTCAACCATTTTTAACCAAATTTGGTATACAGCATCTATGGGTGAAGGGGAACAAAAATTGTGAATTTCATGGTCCCTGCCCCCCTGGGGCCTGGGGGGTGGGGCAAAAACCACTAAAATTAGTGCAATCTTTAAAAATCTTCTTCTTTACTCCTGGACATCAAGCAGGCAAACTGTTGGCATGAATGTAATGAGCATTGAGTCCTCTGAGTACCAAAATTGTGAAATTCATGGCCACAGGGTCAGGGGTTCTAGTGCTAGGGCACGGCTATTTAGATTATGAAGTGAAAGTACATTATTTCTTTGAAAATCTTCTCTGCTCCTAGGTATTAAATAAACTAACCAAGCACATAGTGATGATGAACAAGAGTGCCTCTTCTTAAATTGTGAATTTTATGACCCCAGGGTCAGGGGTTCTGGTGTTAGGGCGGGGCTCTATTGGTTATATAGTGAAAATGCATTAATTCTTTGAAAATCTTCTTCTCTACTTCTGGGTATTGAATTAACTAACTAAGCACATAGTGATGATGAGCAAGAGTGCCTCTTCTTAAATTGTGAATTTTATGGCCCCAGGGTCAGGGGTTCTTGTGTTAGGACGGGGCTCTATTGGTTATTTAGTGAAAATGCATTAATTCTTTGAAAATCTTCTTCTCTACTTCTGGGTATTAAATAAACTAACTAAGTACTTAGTTATGATGAGCAAGAGTACCTCTTTCAAAATTGTGAATTTTATGACCCCAGGGTCAGGAGTTTTGGTGTTAGGGCGGGGCTCTATTGGTTATATAGTGAAAATGCATTTATTCTTTGAAAATCTTCTTCTCTGCTCCTGGGTATCAAATAAACTAACCAAGCACATAGTTATGATGAGCAAGAGTACCTCTTTCAAAATTGTGAATTTTGTAACCCCAGGGTCTGGGGTTCTGGTGTTAGGGCGGGTCTCTATTGGTTATTTAGTGAAAATGCATTAATTCTTTGAAAATCTTCTTCTCTACTTCTGGGTATTAAATAAAGTAACTAAGCACATAGTTATGATGAGCAAGAGTGCCTCTTTCAAAATTGTGAATTTTATGACCCAGGGTCAGGGGTTTTGGTGTTAGGGCAGGGCTCTCTTATATAGTGAAAATGCATTTATTCTTTTAAATTCTTTCCTTTGCTCCTGTGTTTAATGCCAATGATCCAAATATATATTCATGATGAAGAAATGTGCACCTAGCAAAATGGTTATTTTTTTGTGCCCCCGCCCCTTCCCTGGGTAGGGGTGAAGGGGGGGTGTACAAAGTCTGAAAATAAATTAATGCTTTGAAATTTGCTCTTTGGTGTGTTAATCAACCAATCAACGCACTGGCAGCGTTAAAGGAGGTTTTGGAGCTGCTTTTCTGTTTCGCCTTATCTGATTGGTTAGATATTTAAACTGTATTATAATTAGCCAATCAGATAAAGCGAAACAGAAAAGCAGCTTCAAAACCTCCTTTAACGCTGCCAATGGAGAAAATTTTGTGTATCCGATTAATAAATCGTCTGATTACGGCATATAGAACGCTAATAGCGGTGTTTAGGTTAAAGAGACTAATCAAAGAACATCTCCCAGACAGATTGATTGCAAAATTATGATAGGTAACACTAATTATTACCTTGGTTATCTGGTTCGAAGTAGGGGTTCACCATTTGTTTACAACTTTTGTTTCTTACCTTGTGTATTTTTACTATACCGAATAAGGCCATTCTTTAAACGTGAGAAAAGGTACAATCTGCTTGAATATAACGACATGTAGATGTGTTTGACGGGGAAATTTTATATTTTTGAGATATTATACACTGTTACATTTTTTTTTCATTAACAAAAAAGGGGGGGTGTTACTATCCATACTTCAGGTGCCTGTGGTTAAATCAGTCATCAGGGGGATGAGGTTATGAACAAAAAAAACAAAATAATTATAATTCTTAACAAGAGGCCCACGGGCCTTATAGGTCACCTGAGTATTGTGCAACAACTTTCAAACAATTAAATTTGGTTCATGTTTTAACTATTTTAACTGTATTTTTACTATACCGAATAAGGCCATTCTTTAAACGTGAGAAAAAGTACAATCTGCTTGCATATAATGACATATAGATGTGTTTGACGGGGAAATTTTATATTTTTGAGATATTATACACTCTTACATTTTTTCATTAACAAAAAGGGGGGGGGGGGGTATTATCCATACTTCAGGTGCCTGTGATTTAACTTAGTTTTCGAAGCATTAAATTCGATGAACGGCGTTGCCGTTGTTACTAAAAATAGAAATTTCAGTGAAATTCTTTCAAAATGCTACTTCTCCAACAAGAGGCCCACGGGCCTTATAGGTCACCTGAGTATTGTGCAACAACTTTCAAACAATTAAATTTGGTTCATGTTTTAACTATTTTAACTGTATTTTTACTATACCGAATAAGGCCATTCTTTAAACGTGAGAAAAAGTACAATCTGCTTGCATATAATGACATATAGATGTGTTTGACGGGGAAATTTTATATTTTTGAGATATTATACACTCTTACATTTTTTTTTTTCATTAAAAAAATGGGGGGGGGGGGGTATTATCCATACTTCAGGTGCCTGTGATTTAACTTAGTTTTCGAAGCATTAAATTCGATGAACGGCGTTGCCGTTGTTACTAAAAATAGAAATTTCAGTGAAATTCTTTCAAAATGCTACTTCTCCAACAAGAGGCCCACGGGCCTTATAGGTCACCTGAGTATTGTGCAACAACTTTCAAACAATTAAATTTGGTTCATGTTTTAACTATTTTAACTGTATTTTTACTATACCGAATAAGGCCATTCTTTAAACGTGAGAAAAAGTACAATCTGCTTGCATATAATGACATATAGATGTGTTTGACGGGGAAATTTTATATTTTTGAGATCTTAGACACTCTTACATTTTTTTTTTTATTAAAAAAAAGGGGGGGGGGTATTATCCATACTTCAGGTGCCTGTGATTTAACTTAGTTTTCGAAGCATTAAATTCGATGAACGGCGTTGCCGTTGTTACTAAAAATAGAAATTTCAGTGAAATTCTTTCAAAATGCTACTTCTCCTACAGTTTTGGTCTGGTTTCAATATAACTTGGCACATAAGTAGACTACACTAAGATACATAATTAGCCGGGCTTATTGCTCAAAGAGCAATAGCCGGCTTATGGGATCCTGTTCAACTTCCTGTTCAAGGCAGGATGTTGACCCAATAGTCGTCAAATTAAACTGACGTTCTGAAATATAGTGCATCTACTTGTAATCGCTGTTGAAACAATTTATACTCATAATCTGATTAATTAAATGTGAATATAAACTGTACTGTAATTATTATTGTGCAGTTATTAAAAATACATTTGTTCTTAGTAGAGAACTTTTAACAAATTCCTACGCATAGCCTGGTTCCCTGTCCCTGTTTTGCTTCGTTTACTCTGCGTCAATGCCTCGGCAATGATGAGACAGGGTACCAGGCTAAATTTTCCACTCATTCGGCAAACCTAATCAGCCGAGGGGTCCCTAATGATGCAGGTGTTAGGCCTACACAGTGCCCCCCTAGACATCGCCAGATTTCGTTTCTGGAGATAAACGAAGAAGACGCATATTACACAAGGTATACGCGATTGCGGTATGGCGTTCTCCATGGTCAAATTATACAGCTGGTACAACGAAACTTATGCGGAAATCGGAGACTGCCGTCAATCTGACCACGTTTTAAAGTTTGTGTATGACAAAGATGCGCAGTTTATAAGGGGAATTGTGCAAGCCTCCATGCGAGACCGGAGCTACCAGGTTACTGTAAGTTCATCCCATTTCTTTGAGATTTTTGGAAGAAAGAAAATTTTTTTTTAAAGTCTTTTGTTGCAAATCACGAAAAAATGCATAATGTACAACACGTTTGGAAGTATATATGTTTTATCCTGCCTATGCAATAAATCCAGAACAAACCTCTTTCCTAATTTCCTTGACTGAAAGCGTCTATGCAATGTCTTAATACATAATAATAAATTAATATACAATTCTTTTTTTTCTCTCTCTCTCTCCTTAATTTTCAAGTTTCCATGTAAACATGCTTTTTACTTTTAAAATTGATAGAAACATAAGTAAAATTCTAGGTGGTTATTTTTTTTTTTATTTTATTAGATTACTCTTGGTAACCACTGGTAACTGTTACACAGTTGAACAGAGTACCTGTGAATGTGTAAATGGGATGGACAAATGTCACCATAAAGCCAGCATTCTTCTCTATGGGTAATTTATAAGCAATTTATGTAATATGTAAATTCACTTGGTCTGTTTTAGGTATGCTTTACCAAATTTAATGTTAAATAGAAATTATATCAAAATATGCACACCAATATATATACCCGGTATATACAAGTGTGCAGTTCACCATGTGACTGTAGGTAGCAGGGTACTATTCGTGCCCTGGAACCTCCAAGTCCACTACCTTGGCATATATAAGCATACTTGTAACTATAAAATCTAACTTTAGGCCCCAAGACTATAATATAACTTAGTAAATTAATGGAACATGTTGATACAGGTTACAAAAATGTCAGCAAAACTGATGTACGCCAGAGTTGGATTAAGCATCCAAAGAGTGTGCCACCTCGTCAAACTAAGACGATGGAAGAACTTTTTCCTGCACCTGACAGGTTTATTAATTACAGGTATGCATTTATTATGACTGTTTCATGAATGGTGCAAAATATTAAAAAATGACAGTATCCCAAAAGTGAAAATATAAAAAATAGAGAAATAGCACATTTTTTATGGGCAATATACACTTTTTTCAATGGATGGAACTGTATCTCTCTGGTCGTCCATCCTAATTTTTTCAGACCAGCAAGCTGCAGATCTGCAGCTAGCATGGTATATGTAAAACAATTCAGTGTTGTATTATGCTCCATTTTTAAACTTTTGTGAAAAATTACTAGGGCAACAAATAGGCCAGTCAATGATAGGGACAGGGAGTTCCTATATCAGAAATAGACAACTGTAGGGAGATTTTCAGGTTAATATATCTGGTGTTTTATTTTAGTGTCACATTGTTTACGAGTTTATTTTATTGTTACTTTTTTGAAAATTTAAACTGTGATAGGATAGAATGCATATACACACATGTATATATATATAAAAATTCACAAAACACCTAACTAACTCATTACACCTGGACTTTGGACTTCAGATATATAATGGCTTATTTGACATTGGACTGAAATTCTGACAAGATGTGCAGTCTTTCCATTCTTTTTGCTTTTTTTATCTTTTACATGTTTGGTTTTGTTCTTGTCTCTTTTGTTTTTGTGTTGACTTTGTTTAAAACTTTTAATTATACATTTATACTATCAATTTCTATTCAGTGTGAAGTTTTGCATCACGTCACAATCTTTTTTGACAGATGCATTCAGCGTAAACAATTCATGTGATTGATTAACTCATATTATCAACCTTGACACAGAAATAGTTTGTTGTACAAGCAAACAATCAGGGATTAGAAGAAAGTTCCAGTCGTAAAGCTTGCGGTTAGGAGGCGTATACTATTTACCTTGAACGCATCTGTCAAACTAGAAGATCGTGACGTAACATAAAACTTCAACTCAACTGCAACCTTTAGTAAAATGTTTAAATATTATTCACCCTATTTCTCATATACTTAAAGGAAGTTATTTGTACATTCTTTTCACATGTATACATATTGAAATCCAAAATTTATTTGAAGTAGTGAATAAAATAAGTTTGAAAAAATATTTAACATATATACCAGTATTAAGAATTGGTGATGTAACTGCAATACAGGTTTATTGAGTATTTGTTGTCTTTTTCACTGCGGGTTTAATTTTTTTGTTTAATTAAATCAACAGCAATGCATTGGATACTATCCCCCGAGCCACCTGTGCCCACACTTAAAGTGCCTCTAGTTGAAGACCTCATCTCTAGCCAGGAATTTATTTCTGCAGAGAATCCAATCGCTTGGATGAAGCAAAAATTAATGATAAATGAGCAAGAAATCCAACAGGTAAAGACAAATGAGTTGCATAATGAATAGAATGTATTCTGTTTTATTATGAATGTTGTTTAAGTTTTAAGATTTTTGTCATGTTTTAGATTGCCTGTCTTACCACTGGTCAAAAGGAAAATTGCATGTGGTCATCTGTTAGGAAGAATAGATTAACAGCTTCAAACTTTGGTTGTGTTTTGGCAGCGATCAAGAGAAATAGGTATACTGGTAGTTTACATGCCTTTATATGTATATGTAATTATAAATGATACTTGTAAAAGCAGTTAATTATAAAATCAAAAATATTGAAAGTTTGCTCCTTATATAACAGATATCCTGTCTCCTTATACAAAAGATTATGCTCAGCGTATGATCTGTCAAAGAAGGATGCCATTATTTGGGGGACGTGCAATGAAAAAGTCGCAATTGAAAAGTATAGAACTTTTGGGGATGCAGTTGTAGAGCCAACAGGTTGGTATATTTCTTTCCTAAGCAAAATTTCAATTTCTTTAAAGCAAATAAAAATTGATGATAAATAAAAAATTTTCTTGAGCTAATTTATTTAAAATTCAGTTATTAAACTGAAGTTTAAGATAATGAATATAAATATACTATTTTTATGTTTTATTTATAACAAGTCATCAATGCATAAGAAAATCAGAGTGTTGCATATTAATGCTATTTTGTAACTTTATAATACTGTTCATATTAGGTATCTGGCTACACTGTAATGGGGTTCTTGGGTCAAGCCCCGATGGACTCATTCGTCGTCCTGCTGCATTTGGATTCAGCTATCAGAATTCAGGACTCGCTGACATATTAGAGATGTCAAACGTTAAGCCAGAAATACTGGAGGTGAAATGCCCCTTTTCAGCAAAGAATATGACAATTCCAGAAGCTATTGAAAAAGTACATGATTTTTGCCTAGGTAATAATAGTGTATATGCATTTGTTTGAATATGTTTCATGTACTGAGATATTACTTTAAATAATTTCAATATATTAGTTTGGATAAATTTAAGTACAATTTAGCAATTGTTAAAAAAGTTTTTTCCTTCTGTTGTAATGTTAGTCCTCAAGGCAGATGATTTGCCTTCTCACTTTATTGTACAGTAAGGAACAAAATACTTATACATGTAAATATTTATTAGTTAAATAGTTTTGTCTTATATTAACGATTGAGGCACCAATGAAAATTCTTATTCTTTAAAAATCTTCAACATATATATTTTTTTCATATAGAGGTTCAGGATTTTAATGGAGTCAAGTCCTTCAAGCTACGAGAGAACCACCAATACTATGATCAAGTGCAAGGACAGCTTCATATAACTGGGAAATCCTTGTGTGATTTTATGGTCTGGACACCAAAAGACTGCGATTGTGAGAATTAACAAAGACATCAATTGGGAGATCAACATATCTGTTTTGACAGACTTTTATTTCTGTAAATTTCTCCCGTATTTACAACAGCTATAAGATATAACATTAAACATGGTGAAAAAATTTTAATTTTAATATCTTAGTTATCTACACTTGCAAAATTCTGAGCAATTTCCTGCATAAGGGGATCCCGAAAATTGACTAAAACACAGCATAATTGAAAGACTTTTGTAGAAATATATCTAAATTGCTGCGGAACATGCCGTAAAATTTCATAATTCTTAATACGCTCATTTGCTCTTTCAACATGTATGCGTGACTTAGCAATTCTTCGACATAGTTGGACCTCACTGGGGGTGTATTGGGATTTAGATGTAAGAAAGGGAGGAATATTTAGATGTACTCCTTGGGGCAACAACTTGTGAATAGTGAACCCTTTGTCTGCTTAGATTATATCACCTGGAGATAACTGTTCTAAGACTTTACAATGTTCTACAATTGCAACATCAGATGTGCTGCCAGGGTACAATTTACTAATAAATACCAAAGCACCATTAGGTGCAACACCTGTAACACTTTTAACAGTGTGAGAATTTTTGTATCCGCTGTATGTGCTGGCCTGCAATCTCATATCATTCCCTGGAACATCCTGGGTGATTTCTGTTGCATCAAGTACTATTCTACATGAACTAAAATCCCCAAAACTTGTAGTCATAGACCCCTTGCACTTCTGGAGAGAAGGAATGCGACTCTCTACGAGTCCTTCATATATTATTTCATGCAAAGCACAAATCTGCGAAGTTACAATGTTATTGACAGATGACGGACTCATGTTAAACCTCTCAGCAAGGTCCAAAAATGGGGTGTTCATTGTCAGTTTCGTTAAAGTCATCAACAATTGGTCAGTCAATGAAATGAAAGATGGTGTCCATCCATCAATATACTTTATCTGGAACCTCTGCATCATTTCATCAATGGCAAGAAACATGTCAGGACGTACATGTAGACTTGTATACATCAGCATCTATATTAAAACATGACATTAAAAACAGTGGCAAGAATATTTTTAGCCGGGCTTATTGCTCAAAGAGCAATTGCCGGCTTATGTGATCCTGTTCAAGGCAGGATGTTGACCCCATAGTCGCCATTTTAAAGTTACGTGCAAAAATATAGTTCTTACTCAACCGCTTTTGAGATAATACAAACGCTAAATAAAGCAACAAAAATAAAACGAAGTTTTATCTATATAAAATAAACATTAGTAGTAATGACTTTGAAAACTTCCTAAGTCAAAGAAAATAGTTTATTAGCGTAAGGATTCTTGGTAATCAGTGTTACCGTAGTTCTCTACACATACGAGGTAAAGCAGGAGAGGGAACCAGACTGACCTATTGGTTTACATTCAGCTGCGGTACCAGATTAATTCTGATTCTGACAAAATTGGACCGTGGTATTAGGATTGAAAAACTCACTGTCAGTGTCTTATCATTTATATTGATAGTTTTAAAAAAATCCTTCAACAGAATATAAACGTGATTCATGTAAGAAATCCATTCTACTCTGTAAATGAGCCCGGCTCTCTGTACTTCTGAGTACTTTGATTTTGTATATCGGTTTTTGATTTCGATGAATGGTGTTGCCATGGTTACTAAAAATAGAAATTTCTGTGAAATTCTTTCAAAATGCTACTTCTCCTACAGTTTTGGTCTGATTTCAATATAACTTGGCACATAAGTAGACTACACTAAGATACATAATTCTGTGTATCGGTTTTTGATTTTGATGAACGGTGTTGCCGTTGTTACTAAAAATAGAAATTTCTGTGAAATTCTTTCAAAATGCTACTTCTCCTACAGTTTTGGTCTGATTTCAATATAACTTGGCACACAAGTAGACTACACTAAGATACATAATTCTGTATATCGGTTTTTGATTTTGATGAACAGTGTTGCCGTGGTTTCTAAAAATAGAAATTTATGGGAAATTGTTTCAAAATGCTACTCCTCCTACAGTTTTTGTCCGATTTCAATATAACTTGGCACACAAGTAGACTACACTAAGATACATAATTCTGTATATTGGTTTTTGATTTTAATGAACGGTGTTGCCATGGTAACAAAAAATAGAAATTTCTGTGAAATTCTTTCAAAATGCTACTCCTCCGGCAGTTTAAGTCTGGTTATGATATAATGTGGCATGCAAGTAGACTATACTAAGAACATAAAGAGACTTAATCAAGGATCATTATTCTGTTTATTGCTGTGGTAAAGTTTCAATTCCCAACTGCTTAAGAACTTTTCCCTTCCATTGCTAAAAGAACAAACCAGTAGAGCTTCAGTCTCGACAGAGACTTCTGGTTACAAGAAAGCACTCATCGCATATAGCGAATTTCAGTCAAAATTTGAGCCAGAGAATCGGGAAGAAATACTTAACCTCTCACTCTTTGGTAATAAACTTATAGAATTCCAAGGGAAAAACCTATATGTGGAATCATTTATCAAAAGTGGTTTATTAAAAATTAAAGACATTTGGAATGATGCGGAAAATTGTTTTAAATATAACGACACTATTTTTAACAAATTAGTAGACAAAAGATGTTGGATATTTGAATATAGTAAAATAAAATCAGCCATTCCTAAACTGTTTTATCCAATACTGAAAAGAAACAGCTCAGTATTAAATAGCAAAACAAAACTCCCTTATAAATTGAATAATAATTTACTTATAAAAAGATGTACTAATAAAGTGGAAACCTTTGAAGATATCAAGTTAAAGAACATAGAAAAAATATTAAACAAGACAATAATTCCAAAATGTCAAGAAAAATGGGAAAATATTTACCAAAATAGCATACAGTGGAACTTAGTTTGGGACAGTATTTCAAAAATGAAAGTTAAAAATAAAATTCAAGAAATCCAATGGAAATGCGTGCATAATATATTGTATACTGAAGATAAATTATGTAAAATCGGACTAATGGTTTATAAAACCTATGTAAAAATCATAAAAAAAATCAACAACACATCTTTTTCCATTGCACAAAAGTTAAAACAACACTTAAATTACTAGAAGATATAATTGAAAATGTGCTGCAACTAAATGGAACTTTACAAATTAACCAACAAACAATAACATTAGGCTACTTGAAGGAACCGCAAACCCAAGAAACGTTGTTAACATTTTAATATGTATTTATAAATGGGTCATATGGAAAACAAGAAATAAAATTAAATATGAAAATTTAAAAATAACAGACTTCAGCATTAAAAACGCATTCAAAAATGAAATGAAATCGAATTTTTCACTTTTACAAACACACGATTTGACATATTTCAAAGAGAAAATTAATCATGTATTTCAAAATTCCTTGTGATTCTATTACTAGTATATGCTCCCGTGATGAACCATTTATACATGTACATGTATTCGAATCTTAAATCCACTATAAGACACAATATTTTTTACTATGTTATTCTTCATGGTTCTGGAAACCTTATGTTTAAAATATGATTAATATTATATGAGGAAAATATCTTCCTTTCTTGTAAAATTCATTCATTCTGATGTGTTTTTTTTATATAATCTAATTTTGTTATCACAAAACTCTGCATATTGATCCTGTTTTTAAGATGTAAAATATAAAAAAGACCAGTATTTTAGGGAGACCTGGCCCTAAATACTAGTTACAGTGAGATTGATATAGACTTTCTTCTTTTTTTTTTTACACAATCTCCACTGTAACAATGGTCATGCTTCTATTGATGTTTAACGAATACTTTGATTTTATATATATAAAAGGTAAAATTTTTCTTTGAGATACTTATGTATAAGTATGAAAATGAAGTCAATAATTATATATTAGCATAATGTGAAAAATTCTGTGTTCAAATATATTGGAAATATATTAAATAATATTTTATTGATCCAGGGAGCTCCTGGCACCCCTGGTGAAGTATTACCAGAGGGCTTCTGCGGAAGTTTTACCTCATTGTCATGTTGTATATTATTGAATAAATGATTAGAAAAAAAAAGATATCGTGTTTGAAGAATAATTATTTCAATACAAAAAGTATCTATGATATATATATTTCTATTATTATAACTTAGCTGTTACTTTATCCATTTTTCCATGGAAAAAATACATTAAGAACATACATGTAAGTAGAACGATGCTAAAATATTAAATTTAGATAAGGGCAATGTCCCTAAACAAATACTTAAAGCGCGGCATTTCGTTATAATATAAAAGACGACAAAAAATCGTTAATAGATGAATAATAATCCAAGTCTTTTATAAGACAAGAATACCCAAAAAAATATGTCTAACAAGTTTTTAAAGAAAAAATAAACAAAAAACATGCTAGAACTATATATATATGTCTGAGAATTATGAATAGTACTACAGATATTCAGTTAATTAAATATTTGTAGAGCGAATTAAATTGTTAGTGTGATTTTAAATTTTAGAAAAGACAAACTGTTTAAAATTTAATACAATAGAATTTTTGGTTCTACATCACATATATAAAGTGTATCATTACAAAGGAAAAAAACCTTCCTTCAAGTAACTATATATACGTCTGCCATTCAGTATGCTTAACAGCCCCCCCCCCCCCCCCCGGCACTCTTTCTTCCGAAATCAAATTCTTAGTTATTATTTTCAGTATATATTAATTAATATTCAATGTGTATTGTACATGTAACACAGAAAATCTTTATACAAACATCAAAACAGTCATTATATACATACATGTGCCGACAGCGGTATTTTGATATGGCAGGGATTATGTTTTAAATTCAATTTCAAACTTAATCCTTCCAGGTATATACATGTATTGCAATTATTTATTCATTTTTTCCGTAGAAAAGCGAAAATCAATTTTAAAAATGATGTAAACAAAATCTTAAAACTTCTCGGGAAAACGAAGTGACTCTTTGACTTCGGCATGTTCGGTGAAGCGAGATTTAAGCACCTCCATTGTGTCGAATCATTTTGATTGACAGGACAAGCACGTGCACTTGGAGTGAATCGTTTGAACTTGAAGGAAAAAAACCGATGCTTACTGTCAAATGGATTTGTTAATAAAAAAAAATATTACTTTGACTGCCTGAAAAATTAGAAAAAAAAATTAATATATGAA